AGAAGGTGGAAGTTTAATATCTCTGAGAGCCGCTATTATACAATGATTACACAAAATGTCAGCGAATACACATGTACCACAAAATTTATGAGGCATATTTGTTAGAAACAGGTCTAAGATGGAAGATTTTTCAAGATGGTTTTTGTTTGGTCTAGTGGGACAGTCGATCATTTGGGTTATATTGAGTGACGGGCAACACTCCTTGAATTTATCACAGAGGGGGTCGACTTATCCCAGTCAATGTTGAAATCTCCTGCCAAAAAAATATCTTTGAATTTTAAATTTCTAAGGAATTCCATCAGGGAGGATAGAGCCTAAGGTGTTGCTGATGGGGTACGATAACAACCCACTACAGATAAGATCTGGCCTCCATTCAAAGTGATGTTTACAGCTAAGGCATAAAACTGGTTTGGAATTGTTTTAGCAGACACAAGAATAGAAACTAGAGAATCTCTGATGTAAATAGCGACTCTATCCCTATTTTTTTGATGATCACAGTGATAGATGTTAAATTAATTAATTACCAGGTCGTTGTTCAGTACAGATTTGTTGAACCAGGTTTCAGAGATGAAGATTACATCTGCCCTAGAAGAACTGACCAGAATTTTCAAGGCATCAAATTTTCTCAAAAGGCTACGAGCGTTTACATGCAGAAAATGAAGTCCTGGCATGTTTTTAAAGTCATTTGGTGTGCTGTAATTAGTGGGGGTTCCAGGGTTGGGCTGAATCTCTGAGAGCAGTAACAACATTATTATCAGACATTTTCTTGAGTTTTTCGTGACTGATGTGTAATTATAGGAATTAGCAGTGTGGCAATTAGCCCCCATAATCGAACCATGAGATACATTAATGAAGAGGTGTTCATTCAGAATCCCAAAACAGTGAAAGTTACAGTGATGGGCAGATCCAGGTGTATTAACAACATTCAGTGACTCCAGATAGTTTGAGATCTGAAGGAGGCCTGCAGCGACTCCGATGCAAACTCCGAACTCTCGAGCACCACACAGCGCTACTCCTCCGCTTCTCTGCACGTTACTTCCGCACCCCATAGCATGAGAGGCACCCCCGGTGAAAAATGACGAGACTGATCGGAGAGGCTGAGGCTGAAGTCGTCACTGGTCCGGTCCAGTTCTTCTCCAGTTCGGCTCCGGTGCTGCACAGCACGAGAGGCAAAAATGCTCAAGTGGCTGAAGTTGTCTCTGGCACGGTTCTGATCCGGTCCGGTTCCGGCGGCGCTTCAAGGCATCAGAGCGTCTCCTCCAGGCTGTGATGATTTCTCGGCAGGAGACCCATTTGGTGCAGGCAGGCAAGAATAAATCATGGGACAGGACGCAGGGCACA